CATCAAATTCAGCTTTCTTAGCAGCAGTAGTGGTATCTTCATATGCTAATGTAACAGCTTTAAAACATTTTTGTTGGACTAAAACACCTTTTATTTTCTGTTGCCAAATAGGAAAATCTCTTTTTCCATCAAAAGGAGCCAAGGGATAAGCATTCATGATATCACACATATAAAGGCACATAAATTACACATAATCACACATAATCACTCAGACAGAGAAATTAACAAATAATTTGTAGATGCCCACCCCCCCCCCCCCCCCCCCCCCCCCCCGCCCCCCGACAGATTCTTGCGACACTGAGGTGGTCTGGACAAGAGAAGGGCTGTTGAGAGCAATCCAGACTAGAAAATAAATGCGAAAGTAAAGAAGAAATAAGGGAAAGAATCAAGTTAGGTCAAATAATGCCACACATGGCCACATTCACACAGGGCCACCACGCCACACAGGGCTCCCAAACTCCACAAGTCAAAATACATGAAAATTAAACTAGAGTTTTAGAGGTGTTACCTTGGCAAAACCATGTTAGGTTTTGATACTCCGTTTTGAGTAGAGCTAAGCTATAGCCATAGCTCTGATACCACTATAGGGAATCTGCCAAGCTCCATGTCTAATATAGATATGTATAAATTCTCCTTAAGCAGTATTGATTACTGCTAAGAAGAAGATATACTCAAGTAATGCAGAAAAAGAAGAAACAAAGGTGAATAAAACTGAAAGAAATTATAATAAGAATTATCAGCTCAGTCTTCCAATTTTTCATACCAGGGATTCACACTTTTCCACAATACACCACTAGAGTACCACAAGAAGAACTTATCTTCTTTCTCTCTCAATCACAAACCCTAGCTTCACCCAGAATTTCACAAAGGAAAGAACAGATCAAGCACTCAAGCTTACACTCTCACCCTAACCCCATTTTCAGAACTCAAAAGAAAAACTGAAAGATTTAGGTCGAGATTAGCTTTGAATCTGTGTCTTATCTTCTTCCAGCCTTCATACCCATATTTATAAAGACAGAAGTCAAATAGAGTCGGTGAAGGCTGTACTGGAGGGTCAAAGTCAGCCATGTACCATGCACTTTGACCTCCAGCCATGACAGAGTCAAGGCAGTACAAGGGAGCAAGAAGACAGAACCAGGAGCGATGGAGGAAAATGAAGAAGACTAGGGTTTTCAGAAATGAGGGTAAAGAAGAGAGATAAGAGAGTATTTAAGTGAGGGGGTAAACGGTCCAGATTAATCCAAAAATCCAACGGATGGATTTGGTTACATCTGATTTGGGCTCACTCATCTTGGACTCAACTCATGGTGGTGTATGTAAGATAGATGAATTGGGCTTTCTAGCCCAAAACACATTCGGGCGAAAAACCAACAATTTGAGTATCTTGGAACGCCGTTATAGCGGCCGGGACGGGGTTAGTGGAACCGGAACAGGGCCACCGCGGGTCCGCGACAAAGTTCCGGCATATAGCGGCTGGCGTGTTCTGAAATCTTAAAGAAGCGATTTATCCGCCGGAACGCGCACCGTGGCGGCGGTTTACTGTGTTGTTCATGGCGGCAGAAATGGATTAGGGGCTTGTGACGCCGACAATTTTATTTAGTTCTGACTGCACTCAAGTTTTCAAATGTTACAACTTAGTCCCTATATTTTATGATTTCTATTAAAATAAATAAATGGGTAAATAGCACTTAAACCTCTTGTGATTTGGAAATTTTGCACATGACCCTCTTATGCTATAAAATTAAGCACAAGGCCTCCTTATATGGTATGAAATTAGGCAGATAGCCCCTTGTGATTTTGACATTTTGCACATGACCTACTTATGGTATGAAATTAGCACATAACCCTCTTGTTCATAAGTGATAAGGCTCATATCAGGTGGTTCAGTGATTCCTTTCAGCTGAATCTCTTTGTCGTTGTGTCTTAAGGTCATGGTACTTTCTTCATAATCAAAGCAAGTTGGACCAAACTTCTTCAAAACGTCTATCCCAACACCAAATCACAACCTCCAAAGTAGTAGAGTTGCCCCAATATAGAAATAATATCCTTCATTTTCCCACTGTAAGTTAGGGCAATTGGAATGACATTGTAACTATTGCCCGTCAGCGACAATAACTCTCATAGGTTTGGTCATCACCACTTCACAACCAAACTTGCTAGTTGTTTGAGGGTCTAAGAAGCTATGTGAACTTCCTGAGCCTAGCTAGATTGTGAGGTAATTGTTTGTTTTGTATTGTCCAAGAACCTTCAGTGTTTTGGAGGTTGAGTACCCAGCCAAAGCACCGAAGGAAATCTTGCATAATTCCCCTCTCTCAGCACCAAGATCCTCGTTCTTCTCCCCGTCCTCGTCCTCGTCCTCCTCCTCCCCTCAATGTCTTCAATCTCTTAAATTGGAATAGGTACACATTGAATTTGGTAAAAACCTTTACTCCTATGACCAGGTACAAACTTGTCATCTTAGTTCTAATGTAGGCCCACAAGGTTTTAACGAGGCACCGTTTACAATAATGGAATAATAAAAAAATTTTGGCCAGAATAAATTATTATATAATTAAGGGAAAATGAGGGATAACCCCCTCAATACACAAAATAATAGAGTCCATGCCCATTTTAATATTCACTATTTGTAAAGAAATCTAAAATCAATATTATGAATTGTGAGAACCCCCTCACGTGTTTATTATTCCAATTTTGTCCTTTCTTCTCCCACTATTTCTCACTCTTCCCCTCTCTCTACTCAACCGTCCCTTTCTTTCTCTCTCCTACCCCTCTTTTTATATTTTTTACGTATCTTTTTTTTCCTCTTTTCTCTCATTCACTTTCTCTCTCCCCTCTCTCTCTTCCCTGATACATCTCTTTCAATTTCTCTTTTCTTTTCTTTTTCTCAAATCATTTGCTCTGTCTCTCTTCTCTACTAAAATGGACTTCTATATCTTCTCTACCAAAATTGACGGATCCATAGCCGTCGCATCTTCATTGCTACCATTGGTTCACCCGGTCTAGTAACAATGAAACGTTCAGATCTGTTTTCTGACGAAGCAGCATCCACCGCCGCTCTTTCTTAACGCACCCCCCACCGCTGATTTTCTAACTCAAAAATCTCCGCCGCTAGAGTCTTGCATTATTGTCTCGGAGCCTTATGCTCATTTTATTGGCTCAGATCTAATTTTTCAAGAAAAATTACGGCTAGTGATAGTTGTGTTGTGGAAATTTTTTTTTAGGAAAATTGAATTTACAAGGAAGGTATCCATATGCTTTAAACTATTGAGATCATTTGGGACTTTGGGCGTAATTGTGAAAGTGTTGGAATTACTTACCGATGGATAAATAATTTAATGGTGGTGAATTTTGGTCAGAAAATTATGGTACATAAATGATCATTGACTACTATAAATTAGTAGTTAACTATCACAATTTATAGCTAACTATTAAATTTCATAGTTAACTTTCACTATTTTGTAGTTGACTGACACAATTTTATAGTAAACTAGTACAATATTATAGTTGAGATCGTTTAGGACTTTTGGCGTAATTGTGAAAGTGTTGGAATTACTTGTCGATAGTTGAATAATTTGAGGGTGGTGAGTTTTGGTCTTAAAATTATGGTATATAAATGATTATTGACTACTATAATTTAGTAGTTAACTATCACAATTTATTAGGGTTGGGCATTTGGGATCGGGATTCGGGATCCCGTCCCGTCCCGATCGGAATTTTACTATTTGGGACTAAAACTTCGGGAATTCGGGATTACGGGATTCGGGATTGGGATTAGAAACAAATACGGGATCGGTATTAGGGAATTGGTTCAATCCCGATCGGGATATTTTAATCCCGAATTGGGAAAAAAAGAAAAAAAAAACTAATAAAAAATACACACACACACACACACACACACACACATATATATATATATATATATATATATATATAT